AAAAAGAACAAAATAAATGTTGATTGCTACTCTTTTTTATTGGGGCAGGTTTAAGTCTTACTGGGCCAATAATTCAGCGCTAAGCCCATAGAATAATTACATACCAGCCCAGTTTTTCCCAATGTCGGCTCTACAAGAGTTCTGAACTCTAGAAACAAAAGAGAAAATTACACGTATTATTATTATTACTAGTACAACGTCCGTGTATTACACAGGCGCTTGCTAATTTTTTTTCTTAAAATTTAAAATTAATGAGAAAAAGTAGTTGAAAATTTAAATATATATATTATATTTTAGTATGACATTTGTTACTTGTGCGACTTACATGTGTTATATTATAATAATTTTTCTAACCTATAACATATAACTACATTAAACATGATCATATATTAATTGAGAAATAATTGTATTTTTTAATTAATTTTAATAAATATTTTATTGTAAAGATAAGTATAATTTATTTATTTTATATATACAATATGGATGTCAAATCGAAGCTCGTAAAAAAAAAGATTAATTTGATACATTATATATGTAAAACCAATAAGAAACACAAAAGTTATCAACTTTTAAAATATATTTCCAATTCAATAATTATAATAAGAAATTATATTAAAATACAATTAATACATTTAAAATGATCATAAATAAATCAACATATTTATGGTAATCCGAACCTAATTATTTTTGTATTGGAATTAAATTAAAATCTGTCCAAGCCAAATAACAAAACATGAAATTTTGACACCTAGTATTCCGAAACATGCGAGTCTGCCACTTAAGCTCAGCACATTCGGGAATTATATATAAAGGGATTATATGTTGTCAACGAAATACTATTTGTTGACTCACATATTTCTATCAATCTGATTTATTTTTCGTACTTATAAATATAATTTTAACAATTGCATTTTTATGTTATATACGTTTACTAGTACAACGCCCGTGTATTACACGGGTGCTTGCTAATTTTTTCTTAAAATCTAAAATTAATGAGAAAAAGTAATTGAAAATTTAAATACCTTCTATACAAATATATATATTATTATATATTTAGTATGACACTTTTTTATTTGTGCGACTTACTTGTGTTATATTATAATAATTTTTCAACTTACAACATATAACTACATTAAACATAAACATATCAATTGAGAAATAATTTTATTTTTCTAATGAATTTTAATAAATATTATTATTTTCATTATTATAAAGTATAAATATAATTTATTTATTTCATATATACAATATGGATGTCAAATCGAAGATCATCATAAGATGATTAATTTGATATATTATATATATAAAACCGATAAGAAATACAAAAGTTATCAACTTTTAAAATACATTTACAATTAAATAACTAATTGAAGTAAACAAATCAAAAGTTAGGGATATATTAGTCATATAATGTCTCACTATGTAAAATTACAAAAAATTAAAGGGTTATATTAGTACAAGTGATATTAATAATACCTAAGTTAGCTATTTAATATTTATGAAATGTCCGAACCTAGATTATTAATTATTAATATATCAATATTATTTGTCCAAACCTAATTACGAAGCATGATTCTTTGCCAAGTAGGATTCCGAAGCAGCAGAAGCAGCCATGTAGGCTCAACGCTTTCGAGAATAATATATAGGGAGGATAATTTAAAATCTATCTAACTTTTTATAATTTTTAGAATGGAACTTTTTAATTTTTTGAAAAATATTAAATTCTATCACTTGTAGCCCAAGCTCCAAATTATCGGTTTTTGTATGGAGCCAACGGTTGGCTCTATAGTGGAGCCAACCTTCTATATACAACAAGTAAACTTACCATGTTCTATGATTACTTAAATAACATTAATATAATTTTATTAATATAGTAGGTTTATTTGTTGTATATAGAAGGTTGGCTCTACTATGGAGCCAACTGTTGGCATCATAGCAAAACCGCCAAACTATATGGTAAAAGAAAAGATAAAAAATTTGTTAACTATCATCTGTTGATACCCAATTTTGGCATCTACTATTTAATGTTACACGAGGATATGTATTAAATAAATGGAAGATTCTACAATTTATTTTATTATTATCGAGTTCTCAGAAGTCCAGATTGTCCGTATTTGAGCCAAGCAAGCCGAATAGAATCCAAAGTCATCATCCCGACCCGGTTATCATAATGAAGACACTTCGACAGACAAAATAATTGTTGACAAGACTAATACCAATTGAATCCATTCTTTATTATAAATATTGAGCCCTGGGCGGTCATATTCATTACATTAAATGTAAATGGGCCAAGGGGGGATTTTCTTTCTTTTCTTCCTTATCTGAGAAAAGCGGGTGCCTCTCTCTCTTTTCTCTCCAGATCCTATCTTCTTCCTCCCTCATCTTCTTCAAATTTTCTTTATCCATGTTTTTTTACAGAAATTCAACACAAGTTTAATACCTACATATACAAGAAATTCGATATATACAAACACGATTTTCCGAATACCCGATGTTGATACAATTTCACATATCAAACACATTGAAAGTAGCAAACCTATAAACCATATGAGGGAATTGCAAATCTGATTTCTTTATCATATTTCCAGTGCTGCCTGCTTACATATAGTATTTAAATTTTCAGTTGTCAGGGAATCTCTATTTGCATACATAATTAATTAATTAATTAATTATATATATATATGTTATATATACTGTCATAATTCTGTAAAGCAGTTGATGAGGTCAAATTTTATTACCCAATATTTCTGTTTTTCCAGATGGAATCGAATCCTTCCAACTGTAACCAGAATCAATTCCAGATAACAAGAAATTCTTCCAAATAGGCTTCTAATTTAGGCCGCATTTCTAGAAAAAAAATCTTCAAATTTTATTTCCGTTAATTTTTCTTATTTCACCTCAAATTAATAGCTACAATGTAATGTTTATCTAACATAGTTTTTTAAACTCGGCCCGGTAATCGATCCGTGCAGTTCTTCGAGTCATAGGGTCACAAAATTGCGCCGGATAATTAATTTTAAAATTTTTAAAATAATATATAGATTATTTTTTTCATATAAATATACATAAGAGTTACAAAATTAAATGTTTTGTGTATAAAATATGTAAATTAAAGTGTTAATAATATGTATCAAATCATAATATTTACCATATAAACATATATACATAGTTTTATTTAAAAAAAAAACAAAAAAATATATATGAGGCAGGTCAACTGGGTTGAACCGGCCTGGTCAATGCACCGAGTCGGTCGGGTCAAGGCAGGATTGGCCGGATTTGACCGGGTCCTTTATTGCCCGATCCAAATAACTCACCCGAACCGGTTCCGACTCCTGGTAGACCGGGTCGACCCTTCGGGTCGGTCCGAGTAGAAAAAACTATGGTCTATAATGTAAATAAGGTTATGATTAAAAAACTATGTTAATTATAATTAGGCATTTTAGTCAAAACTATCCTTATCTCATATTTGATGCAACTTTTTTTTTTTTTGTGAGAAGCATGAAAAGTTCAAATTAAATTACTCTTCTATCATCCTTTTATAATTATGTTTAATCTATATTAAATAACTAATAACACGACTACAAACATAATTAATGGAACTAATTAAGTCAAATGGAATATATCTCTATATCTCTAATGTCTTTGTTCACGAGCACGCTTGCCTCACAATGTGTCCACAAAGCCCAATTAGTTCATTGCATTCTTCATGCGAATCAAATACAATGATCTTTATTAAGAATTATTTATATTATATCAGTCAATCTGTTTTCAAACATAACAAATAAAAATAATCACTCCATTAGGATATATATAAATATGGTCCCACATTTTTCTTTGGCTACAAGTTGATAACCTTCCATCATAATTTAAGAACAATACTTAAAATGTGATGAAGCACTGATATGGTTACACGTGTTACAAACTTGCAATACAATACGAGCAGTTTTCCTATGAAGTCAACAGTTGGCTCCATAGTAAAGCCAACATTCTCTATACAGCAAGTAAATCATACCATATTAATAAAATTATATTAGTGGCATTTAAATAATCAAAAAATATGGTAAGTTTTACTTGTTGTATATAGAAGGTCGTCTCCACTATGGAACCAACTGTTGGCCACATAGCAAAACCGACAATACGAGTATCACAAAAATAAAAAAATAAAATAAAATAAAAACATGATCAATGCTAGAACCATATCAATATACCGCAACCCCAAGTTCACCAATGACATAAAAAGATTAAAAAATTAAAACAAACAAACATGAAACCCTAAAATTACGAACAAACTGAAAAACTAAAAGATTAATAATATAAAAACACAATACATCATCAAATTACTCAAACCCAATACTCGAAATTTTCGTAGCTAGTGATATGCACCGTTGGTGGTGGTCGGCAAATCGGCCGGCCACGAAAGACCCGCGTTCCAAAACCCTAATTCTCCGGCCGTCCCCACCGGAGCCGACTCCAAAATACCCGAGTTAGCCGCCGTCGATGAATTTGCCGAGCCCATATTCCCAAGAACCAACGGCGAACTTTCATTGTAGTAGCAGCTCGCCGGTGGAGATCTCAGCCGTTGGTACAGCTCGTGAAGCCCGTTGTTCTGAGATTCTCCGTGACCGTGAAACGGGCCCGGGAGGCCCGAAGGTAAACGGGCCGGATCGAACCCGAACAGGAAGTTACCGTTATAACCTTCCTCCTTCATGGAGATAGAATTTTCGGTATTATTATTATTATTGGTACTATGGGTAGGGTAAGTGTTAGGGTTTTGATTGGCCCTGAGCAAGGAGAGGAAGTTGTAGTTGGTTTGAGGTGGGGCGGCCCACAACAGGGTCGGGTCGGGCGGGGCGTGGTCGAACCCTGAGAAAAGGCCCATCTTGATGAAGTCGGAGGAGGCGGCGGACTTGGGCCGGCCAGAGGGTGACTTTCCGGCGGCGGTGGAGGCAGAGCGGTTTTTACGGCAGCCGCCGCCGATGGGGACGTTGCGGAGGGCTCCGCCCTTGGTCCAGTAGCGGCGGCAGGTCTTGCAGAAGTGGCGGGGCTGGGTGAGGTTGTAGTTGTTGTAGTAGCAGAACTTGGTGTTGGAGGAGTCGCAACGGGGGCACCGGAGGTTCTCCGTCGGGGCGGCGGCGGTGGCGGCGGTGGCGGCAGAGGAGGAGGAGGTGGGAGGGCTGGTGGTGAGCTTGGGTTTTTGGTCGGATTTGATTGGGCCGACGTTGTTGCCGCCCAAAAGCTCTTGAATCATCTTTTTTTTTTTTAATCTGACGTTGTGTTGAAATCTATTGGTGAGAAAGGGGGAAAAGATTGGATTTTTGGTCTTTTTTTTTTTAGTTTTGAATTTTGAATTTTGGTGGTGGGATTTTGAGAAAGGTGTTTTTGTATGTTGTTTAGAGTTAGAAGGGGTTTGTGATTTGTTGAGGGGAAGAATGTTTATGGGATAGAGAGCAAAAGGAGATTTTGAGGAAGGGAGGAGTGAGTTTAATATACTACAAATGATGGGGCTACCCAATTTGTCTTCTATCCAATCAACATACACGAGTCTGTCTCAGCTCTGCCCGGCTCGAGTTCGAGCTCATTTAACGAGCCGAGCTCGGCTCGACTTGATAAAATCTAAAAAAGAATTTGTACATAATCTTCTATAGTTCAACACATTAAAGCTCAAGATCGACTTGTTAAGGCTCGAACTCGGCTCTTTAATAGTGTTAAACGAACTGAGTTCAAGCTCAATTTCACGCTTATTTATTTAACGAGTCGAGCTCGACTCGGCTTGTTAAGAACTTGAGCTCGAGCTCGAGCACCTAAGTTCGAACTCGACTTGTTTAAAAATGCCTTATTACCAAAACAGGTGTGACTATGTAATACGACAATTAGAACTCTAGTAGAACAATGGCCATGTGGCTAAGATCGGATTTTCCTACATAGAGTTGTATGCTTTCTGTTTCTTTGAGTTCCAGTTATTTATTAGACGGTGCATACATACCTTGTTGAGTATAAAATTAGTACTGTCGAATTAATTATTATACGAATGATATGAACTATATAAAATTAATACTAAGATTAGCATTATTTGTACTTATTTGAACACCTTCTTTTAAATATTATTTTAAGTTAAATCTTAACAATTAAAATTAAGGAGAGAATATAAATGACTTTATATATGATGTTAGTGTATTTATGTGTACTATTAAATAAAATAATATAGATGAATTTAAGCTCTTCTTTTTGCCCTTATTTAATTTTGACAGTGAATCATAAATATTAATAATATT